AGAATTTTGTCCTTAGCTCACTTCAGCTTCCTGGAAGATTGCAATTGATTTCTTTCTCTATAGGCTACTCTGTCTCTCTCATACACAAAGGACAAGAATTTATCTCTCTGTGGCAGGGTCTTAGTATGTAGCAGGGACTGGCCTCAAACATTTCCTCATCTCACCCTTGCTAAGAGCTCTAAGTTTTTTGAGTTTCTTTTTGGGATTCTAACTCTAGAAACCCTCTTTTTTTTTTTTTTTTGATAACTTGGACAGAAATGTATCTAAATAAGTCTGATCTTACAGGTAGGGAAAAAGAAGTCCGAGCATTTAACAGCTTGCCCAGACGTTATATGTGTTAGCTTTCAGTTTTATTTTTAGACAAGATCTCACTGTGTGGCTCAGGAACTCGATATGTAGAACAGGTTGTCCTTGAAATCACAGAGATGTGCTTGTCTCTGCATCCCGACTGCTGGGGTTAAAGGTGTACATCACCAGCCCAGGTCAGAGCTAGGACATGAATCCTGGTGAAACCGAAGGCAAAGCCCGTGCTCGAACCATTGTGAGACACAAGCCTTGAGGAAGAAAGAGTGGCGAGGTGACCTCAGTTCATAGCTTTTATTTGTGTTAGGGAAGCTTCAATCATAAGCATGCACGCACCAATGCCTTGACACCATCTGAAAACATTTGTATTATGAATAGTGGAATTCCTCATGAATGATGACTTCTGGGTCCCTTGTTCAAAAGACTTGGGTGTGATGTCTTAGGGACAAACATCTCTTTTTTTAAAAAAAAAATATTTTATTTTTTAAGTGTGTGTGTGTGTGTGTGTGTGTGTGTGTGTGATATGCGTGTAGGTGCTAGTGGAGGCCAGAAGAAGGTGTTCGATGGCCCTGGAATTGCAGTTAAAGGCAGCTGTGAGCTACCCAGAGTGGGTGCTGGGAACCAAACTCAGTTCCTGGTTAAGAGCAGGGGGCCATCTTCACCAGCGAGCTCTCTCCAGCTTTGGCAATCTGATGTTTGATCTGAATGTTCACTTCCGATTGGCAAGTAGACATGCTGTAGCCTGCGGGTGTGGGCATCATTTTCTCTTTTAGTGCGGGTTTAAACAGTGGCTGTCAACATCTCAATCAGATTTCCCACTCCTTTTAAAAATGGGGTCAGCATCCTGAGGGAGGCTGCTCCCTTTCAAATGGCTCAGCACAGTCCCCATGTCTCTGTTGTTTCCTAACCTGGCCACCACATTCATGTATGTCTCCTGTCTGACCTAGACGTCTATGTCTTGGCACTGGCTCATTACAAACCTCATGGCATTGTCACCCCCTCAGGGAATGCTGGGGTTGATCATAAAGCAGGGACAGCTTATCCCTGCCACTGGGCATACCGGGAAAGGAGGCAATAATGGACAGGTAGTGAGAAGCTGTACTTCAGAACCCAGCACCAGGGGTGGGACCCAGCTCAGAGGGTAAAGAGCCTGCTGTGTAAGCATGATTTCAGATCTCCAGCGCCAACATAAGAGCCAGGTGTGGCAGTGTGCGTCAGTCACCCCTGTGCCAAGGGCAGAGACATCTGGGTTCAGAGAGAGACTCTGGGTCAAATGATAGGCGGTGAGGGATGAGGGATATGCGCTAGCATCAGCCTCTGACTGCCATGTGACCTGCAGAGGTGAACCCACCTTTACACATATATACATCCATGTGAAATATACACACATGCATGTACCTGCATGTACAGACATAGACACACACGTGCATGCATGGGTACAGACATGCACACACACATGTGTGCACACATATACACATACACACAGACGCACACATGAACACAGCACAAAGAGCTGCAGCTAAATCCTATCTTCTGCCAACCATCTGTACCTCGGTATCCTTCCTCGCAACATGGCAATACCTCTTGAACTCCTTCTAGTGTTTCTATGGGAAAGTTCCAAGTGTTGTCTGCTGTGTGACAGGATCGGCACCAATGAGAGCTGCTATTACTGTGACCATTTAGTTAAGTCTGATCTGGGCAGTGCATGTTTTCACAAGTCCTCAGAAATGAAACCAAGACTGGCTTCCTTCTCCCAGAACGCTGTCCTCCAAGCTTGGCTCATGGGTGCACAGTCCTGAACTCTCTTTAGAGTCCTCTTAGCGCCTGCCCGAGGTCCTCTCCCGCCCCGTCTATAGCAAGAGTGGCAATAACTTTCAATAAGTGGTCTGCGTTCTCAGTGTGCTAAGAAGCAGCCGTCAGTCTGCACACATCCTCTCTCACCTGCCTAATGCGTACAATAGCTTCATGGGCTGTGAAGCACAGCGGGGGAAACTGAGGTCTGAGAAAGTTAAACAATTGATTTGGGGTGAGTGATAAGTGAGGACCTAGGTTCAGGCAATCTGGTACCAAGCTTGTACTATTACCCATGCTTCACAGTCTATGACACACACAAGCACACGCACACCACACACACACACACACACACACACCCCACAACCACACACACACACGCACACACCACACACACACACACACACCCCACAACCACACACACACACGCGCACACACACACATGCACACGTTCTTTAAGAACGGAGCTCAGCATGTTCTCCTCTGTCCTCTAGTGTTCTCATCTTCCCCCCATTCCAGGCCGACATCATCAGATTTTAGAGACCTTGACGATGGTGTCAGTGTCGTCTGAACAGAAATCCGGAGCTCTCTCTGCCCTTTTAGCTCCCCTTTCCCTTTCTTTGGACACTGCCCTCCGCTCCCCCTTGGGAGAGTTTCTGTTTGGACACGGGCTTCCATATGCACCTGGTCCTCATTGCTTGTGCACCTGGCTCATCTGATCTCCTGTGACATCTGCTGACCTCTCCATCACCAAGGCTGGGCTGGCTGATCTATCCAGACAAAGGATGTGACTTCCTCTCTCATCCACCCATGTGAGCCTCTTTGGTCAATGAAGCCCCCAAAAGGTTGGCCTTCTCAGCTTAAGGAGCAAGGTGCTTTGGTCAAGGATGTAGAAGAGTTAGTTGCCCAGGAAGAGAAGGTGAAGTATTCTTGGCCCTGTGAGTTTTTGTGCTTCTCATTTCTGGGCCCGGCTATATACCATGTGTCTTTTGCCTTTGTCAAAACCCTGATGGAAAGTGGCATTGATACAGAAGAAATATGTATAAATCCAGAGGGAAACATCAGTGTCCCCCTCTTTATGACAGGAGAGCTCATGGGTGATCCCAAAGCACATGTTTTTGTTTTTCTTTTTCTTTTTTGTTCTTGAACTAGGAATGAGGCAAGCATAATACAAAGTCACACATGCAGGGCACAATTTTGCAGACACCTGGTGAGACGAATATTAGACAATTCTAGGTGCTCCACTAATACCTTCACATCGCCTGCCCTCTGGCAGTTGGGCAGGGCCACGTGACAGCCTTCAGTCCTCTGATTGTGAGTCTAAGTGACATTTGCACAGGCAGTGGAAGAGTCACAAAGGCTCCTTCTTCTTTCCCACTTCCTGCCTCCCATCACCTCCTCACTTCCTCCTATCACATCACTTCCTCCCGTCACATCACCTCCTCCCATCACTTCCTCCCATCACCTCCTCCCATCACATCACTTCCTCCCATCAATTTCTTCCATCACTTCCTCTCATCACTTCCTCCCATTACTTTCTCAAATCACTTCCTCCCATCACTTCCTCCCATCACTTCCTCACATCGCTTCCTCCCACTGCTTCCTCCCATTACTTTCTTACATCACTTCCTCCCATCACTCCTCACAATACTTCCATTACTTTCTCCCATCACTTCCTCCCATCACTTCCTCCCATCACTTTCTCCCATCACTTCCTCCCATTGCTTCCTCCCACTGCTTCCTCCCATTACTTTCTTACATCACTTCCTCCCATCACTCCTCACATCACTTCCATTACTTCCTCCCATCACTCCTCACATCACTTCCATTACTTCCTCCCATCACTTCCTCCCATCACTTCCTCCCATCACTCCTCACATCACTTCCTTTACTTCCTCCCATCACTTCCTCCCATCACTTCCTCCCATCACTCCTCACATCACTTCCATTACTTCCTCCCATCACTTCCTCCCATCACTTCCTCCCATCACTCCTCACATCACTTCCATTACTTCCTCCCATCACTTCCTCCCATCACTTCCTCCCATCACTTCCTCCCATCACTCCTTACATCACTTCCATTACTTTCTCACATCACTTCCTCTCATCACTTCCTCCCATCACTTCTTTCTATCATTTCTTCCGATCACTTCCTGGTCTAGAAATGAGGGTTGGGGAATTATAACCCACATATAAAAACACTTGTTTCTGTGACTAAAGTTTGACTGTAATACAGCCATACCAATCGTTTCCACGCTGTCTGTGGCTGCTGTTGTGTCCAGTGGCAGAGCTCAGTACTTATGACAGAGGTGGTGATAGGGACCTCATGTTCTGCAAGGCCGCGATGTTCACTACCATGCCAGGGTCATTTAGTCCCAGTGTGTGAGGACTGGCCCTGATGTGCTGGACTGAGACCTACACATTGGGTCAGAGAGGAGGGGAAAGGTGACCTCATCCGTGCTGGAATGTTCCTAGTTTATCTTCAGATGGTATTGAGAGGTCAAATGTGCCCCTCAAGTCTGGGTCTGATTATAAAATTCCATTTTCTACTTTAATGGTTTTGTCTGTCTGTTGTTTGACGGGAAGCTGAGCAGGAAAACCTGACTCAGGTCTTTCTTGGGACAGCTATGGCAGTCCTGACTCAAGGAGCTATAGTCATGTTAAGCTGAACCCATCTCTTCTTCCCCGATAGGATTGCTAGGATACAGTGGAGTGATTGACAACCTGGGTCTCTGAATAACTGTGCAGAAGACAGACCTTGCATCTGCCCTGGATGGTCTGTGTAAGAAAACGTAAAGATCCTGTTAGTTTTCTTATCAAAGCCATTCCTAACCTAGCCCAATAGATTCCCACGAGTACTGGAGAAAAGCATTCAGTAGCAGGAGGCCTTCGGAGAGCCTACTTACTTCCTGGAGAAATGCACCGCAAAGAAAACACCGATGATGACCAGGCCGATGATGATGGAGGCGATGGCCACCCATTTGGCATTCTGCCCCAGCCTCCTGGCTCCTTCGTAGTCTCCGTCATTGTAGCTGTTCTGAGACTGGGGGACACAAAGGAAGAGTCAGTGACAGGAAAGACGGGAGCTTTCTCAGGCTGTCTTGACGAAACAACTCTTAAGAAGCCATTGGTGACTGTTCCCCTCAGTATCAGACTGTTGAGAAAACAGCATAGCTATCATCTCCCGGGAAGTCTTCCCAAGGCCTCCATATGTCACCAGAGAACTGATTTTTGTCTCACCCACCCACAGAGGGACTGTGTGGATGGTAATGTTAGTCTCCCATTTGCGCAGTGTGTCAGTTCCCAGAGCCACACTTGTCAAGCGGAAGATACTGAGTCCATAGCTGTAGAACGAAAGGGCACGCCTGGGTCAAGCACTGGGGCCGTCACTGCCAAGTCTGACCCACAGCCTGGGCCAGCTTGCCACCTGTTTTTGCATAGCTCATTCGAATCAAAGCCACACTGATTTGTTTACTATTGCTGGTTAGGAACTTGTGCAGAGGTTGTAGCGTTGGTCAAACCCAAACTATCTGCTGTTTGATTATCTGCAGAAAACATCCAGCCGTTCCCACACTAAACACTTGGGCTCAATTATTCGCCTCTATACACAAGTCAGGGTCATCTTTTAACTGGGACCCACAGCCGTAGCTTCTCAGGCTGTTACAATGTTGCAGCGGATGAGTAATGCTACCCTGAGCCTTGGTCCTCCTTCCTTAAGCCCCCAGCATCCTAGGTCCTTTTCTGTGTTACCTATGACTTCTCCAGGAACCCACAAGGCAAGGGTTCTTCCTGAGCTCATCCTGTCAGGGATGCAGCCCAGTGGGCAGAGGGTGAGTTTAGCACATCAAAGGCCCTGGAGTTTGATCCCCAGAAATACCTAAAGTGGGGGTGATGGAGGCACAGAGGCCTGGGGTCAGGACTTCAGGCTAGTCCTTGCCCTTGGCCAGCTCTAGGCCCACCTGGGGCTATTTGAGAAGGCACAAGATCTCAGAGGCCTGAGTTAGGATTCTACTTAAGAAGCCATGATAGGTACAGAAAGTAACCAATCTTTCAAAGTTGCCTTGTACTTGTCTGTGAATTGGGGGCATCGGGAGCAGCAGCATTACACAGAAGATTCCATGAACTAACGTGCAAAACGATCCGCATTGATTTTGTACGCTCAACACACGTTGGCTTTTACTATGAACTGGTTACTCCTCCCACCTCATTCGTATTTTAAGACTTTGGGTGGATAGGGGTGTGCCAGGCTCGTTGCCACCTCTGATGGCCTCCACGATCACGAGGACCCAAGTTCAGGCGGTGTTTCAGATGGTGTCACAGTCCAAGTCTTTGCACATTAGGGATTCAAATTCAGACCTTATAATCTAGCTTAGAGTGACGGTGGTTCAGACTGCCCACCCTGACAAAGCATCGTTCTTCTGAGTGTCCTCAGAAAACACAATTCACAGATCAGACGGGGTGATGATCTGAGTAAGACAAGGAAAAGTAACGGGAGCTCAAACAATGTTAACCTTGACCGTCAGACAAGAAAACAATCTTATGTTCTCCAACAGCAGTGACCACAATAAGTAGGAAGATGGCCAGGCTGGGGCATCCCAAAGGGCACACCTATCATGAGGGCATTGCCTGTGGGCTCGGGTGAGAGGTGGGGGGCTCTGGGCTGTTTGGCTTGTTTGGTGCAGATCAGCGAAGTCATACTGATCACTCCTCCTTGGGTACCACCCTATCACCAAGACTCACGAGCGAGAGGCTGCCGTTGACTTGAAACAGTTGAAAAGCCTCTTTCAAAGCCGAGGAGGATTGTCCTCTCCCTCTACAGGACTTCCACTCTGAATTTGTCCTCCCCTCTGGCTCTCCCTGGTTAATCTGCTGCGTGAGTGTAAAGATACGTGGGAAGGATCAAGGCAGGAGACTATAGAATTCCAAGATTCCAGTCTAAGGGTCTTGTGTTATGGTAGGGCGATCAGCTTGAGGGTTGACTCCAGAGTTACTTTGTTCCTCGCTGTGACAAAATGCCCAATGGAAGCATCATAAAGGAGGGAGGTTTACTTTGGTACATGGCGTCAGAAGTTCCAGTGGTGGGAAAGCATGGTGGTGGGGGCTGCTCTGTCCTTGGTGGCAGGAGGATGAGGCGGTGACTGGTTCACATTGTGGCAAAGACCAGAAACAGAGAGAAGTGATTGGAACACGAGGTGGATACAACCTCCAAGGGCCACCCTGATGCTCTACCTCTGCCAGCTAGGCCCCTCATCCTAAAAGTTTCCACAGCCTCCTCAGGCAGCAGTGCCAGCTGGGAACAGAGTGCCGGAACACGTGAGCCTGTGGTGGACACGACACAGGCAAATCTTTAACAGTGGAGAGCTAGCAACAGAGGGGGGATCCTCCAGCCCTGCCCCGCACTGGGGGTGTAGCTCAGGGCCTCGTATGCTCTGGAGAAGAGCTCTCTGCCCTAGCTGCAATGGCTCTCCTCTTCTTCCACTTAGAGTCCCTCCTAAGGGTCTCTTGGCAGATAACACAGACTGAAGGTGTGGAAATGGGCTTAGAGAAAATGCATATGCTTCATAAATCTTTTTTTTTTTTTAGCTCAGAATGCAAACTGTGCCATCTGGTACAAAAGGATGAGAGGATTGTGGATGGCTTTAGATATTCAAAATGTCGATGATCTTGTCAGAGTGGGTTCTTTCCTTGACATGTGGACCTGCGGGTTGAACGCAGGTCCACAGGTCGTCAGGCTTGGCGGCAAAGGCTTTTACCTGCTGAGCCGCCTCGCTGGCTCAGTTTATATGATCTTACTCATTCGTCTGAAAATTATGAATGCAATTTGGATGCATCCCAATCATTTAAACACTCCAGAAACAAACAGGACACAATACTTCATTTAATCGTATTTCTCAGTGTTAAGCGGCTTGGTCTGTCTTTTAGATGTCACATCCATAAATCCTATGAAAACAATTCTGACAGGTTAGGAGAAAGAAATCCACACACCAAGATAAAGCCACAGTAACAAGTCTGTGTGTCTAATCCTGGTCCCTCACATCTGAATGCCTTGTATACTTCCTACAAATCTATGCAAAGACAGCTTCATCCTCCCTCTGGCAAGGCTGGTGGCGGTCACAGGCTGCAGAGGAATGCCTTGTTCTGACTAGGAACAGACGATTGTAAATCCTGGTAGACATAGCGGATCCGGCATCCGCCACCCGTGTTTCCTTCAAACACTCGCTTGTGCTTTTCATTGGCTGGCTGGGCCTTCTGAAACTGAACTTCCTTGCATTTCTTTCTAAGTAAGTTCCTTCTTCCTATCCCTCTCTCCTCTCCCTTTTCCCTTCTCTTGTCTTCCCCCTTTTCTGTATGTTTTGGCTTCTGCTATAGTTCAGTTCTGGAAGGTTCCCTAATGGGCCATGTACTGCAGGCTTCAAGAGGTGGGGCTGGGAGACTTTAGGTCACTGAGGGTGTGTCCTTGAAGGGACCTGTAGCATTCTGGTTTATTTTCTCCAACTTCTCCACCCTCCCCCTTGTCCCCAGATTTCGTGATGGGAGTCACTTCCCCTACCTTGTGTAGTTGACTCTTCACAGACTCAAAAGTCACAGACCGACAGACAGCGCCCAGAAACCTCTAGAACTATGAGCCAACGTAAACCCTTTCTCCTTGTGAGCTGATTGGAGGTATTTATTTGCAGTAACAGGAAGCCAGCTGGCACAACTTTTGGCTTTTCCTGTGACAAAACAGCGCCGTAACAGACAACGTTTGTGGAGCGTAGCTTCACGCCTGACATCGTGCTAGATTCTCTCCAGGGCTGTCTAGCTTCCTCAGCTCTCTGAGCGAGGAGTTCGTTTAAGCCAATCACAAAAACTTGCTGGTTTATTTGTGTGTGTGTGTGTGTGTGTGTGTGTGTGTGTGTGTTTGACTCCAAGCTGATGCTTCTAGCTCTGGCATAGTTCTGTGTTCTGTTTCTATTCATAATTCAAGAGACTGAGTTGCAGTGACAGACTTCCCCCTCTTAATGTTGCGCCATCATGGTGCTCTTGGGGAAAAGCTGTGCATTTATTATGAGGGCTTCCTGTGTTGCCCAGGCTGGCCTTGAACTCACTGACCACACTCCCATCTCTGTCTCCTGAGGCCTGGATTAAAGGGATTAAAGGTGTCTACCCTAATGCCTGACCACCTGGCATTTATACTTATTTATTTAATTTATATGTATATGTATATAGATGGGGGTTGTGCATTCACATGCATGCTCACATGTGCATGTGTGTGTATGTGTGTGTGTGTGTTTGTGTGCACGTGGGGTCCAGAACACAATTTCAAGTGTTATTCCTCAGGTGCTTACCTTTTTATTAATACTGGGTCTTTTGCTGGCCTGGAGCTAACCAAGTAGGCCAGGCTAGTTGGGTAGAGAGCTCCAGGGATCTTGTCTCTGCCTCCATGTCCATCATTTTTAGATTGATATTTAGGGAACTTGAACATGGCATGGGATTTCCTTCTAAGCTATAGGTTTTATCATTTCACACATGAATAACTCTTAGCCCAAGGTCTGCAAAGTGGTAGCCAACAAACAAACTACTCGAAGCTAAGCAGCCAATGGCGCCTCATTCATTTCACAAAATATGCCAGAAGAGAGGTCGTGTCCCTTCTGCATTTGCTTCCCTCTGGGGGGCTGATGCACCTTGGCACACAGACCAAGGCATCCTCCCAGGTAGTCTAATGACATCATGGCCACTGCATATAGTCACTCTCAGCTTATTTACACCCACCTTCCATGGGTAGACACACGATCCTCATACCCAGGGATAGAAAGCTGGTCAGGAACTGGAGGGGAGAGGGCTGTTTCTATGCCGAGCCTCGAGAAGGCTGCAGCAGAGAACAGCAAGCCCACTGTGGCCTGCAGCAGCAACTCTTGGCTTCCTGTTGGAGCGTCCATCTCAAAGAGGAGACATGAGAGCAATGCTGTCATATTGGTAGCTCCATCTCAGTGTTAGTGGATCCGCTGTCTAGGAATTCCTGACACTTCGTGCTGAATGGTGCATCTACCACACTGCTCTCAG